ACCAATACCAACTTGGGGAGGAAAGAATTTATTTGGCTTACATCTCCCAGGTCACAGTTCATCCAGGAGCCCAAGGTAGGAACTCAGGGCAGGAACCTGGAGGCAGGAGCTGGAGCACAGGCTATGGAGGAACACTGCTTACTGGCTTGCTCCCTGGCCCCTGCTCAGACTGCTTTCTTATACAACATAAGCCCACCTGCCCAGGGGTGGCACCACCCACAGTGGGCTGGGCCCTCCCACATCACTCAACAATCAGGAAGATGCCCCACAGACATGTCCACAGGCCAGTCCAACAAAAGCAATTCCCCAATTGAGGCTCCCTCAACCCAGGTGTGGCAAGCTGACACCAAAGCTATCCAGCACAGCCAGGAAGCCAGATTCTAAGGCAGGCTGCTCCTTAGTCCTGCCTGGGGCACTATTAGGTAGAACAACTGTGACTGGGACCTGGCCTTCAGGAAACCTTCAGCCTGTAACCCAGACTTGAGAGAACCAACCTGGGCGGGATGACCTGCAGGTGTCTTTCTTCTGGGGATAGGCATGGAGGGGCTAGCAGTTCGGGAGGTCAGGCTGATTCAGGTTGGAAGGGTGGAAAGGACAGAGATGAGAGGACTACACTTATGCTCAGGAAGGTGTCAGTGCCCACTGGGGCAGGACTAGGCAGCAAAGACAGGGAAAAAGGACTGCCAGGAGCTGTGGCCTTCTCTCTGAAGCAGAAAACCACCTACAGATCCACTCAGGGTTGGGACTGTAGACCGGTTGGTAGAGTGCTCACCTAGCATGCATGAAGCCCTGGGTTCAGTCCCCAGTACCACATAAAGAAAGGTGTGGTGGTGCACATCTGTAACCCCAATTTGGAAGGTGGAAGCAGGAGGATTAAGAGTCTAAGACCATCCTCAGTTACATAGTGATTTCTAACACCAGTCTGGGCTACATGAGACCCTATCTCAAAACACAAAAATAAATAAATAAAAGTATCCACTGAAGAGTGACATATCCTTGTGAGAGACAATCCCAGAAGTGTCATTCCATCTGGGGAGATGAACAGAAGCTCTGATCCCACAGTGGGCATTTCTCAAGTTCTCAGGAGTCCCAGAGTCCTGGCAATACCCAGCACACCAACCGCCTCTGGCTGTTGCCTCCTCCAGACGCCCCTCCGGATTCAGCAGCTCTTACGTCCCAGGGCTTTCCTGAGTCACCCACAGTCAGATCCCTGGCCTGCCCTTTATCCTACCTGGGTGGAGGCTAGAGGCAGCTGCTGTCACGGTGGGAGGTGGGACATAGGGACCAGGAGGATTCACACACACACACACACACACAAAAAAAAAAAAAAAAAAAAAAAAAAAAAAAAAAAAAAAACCTGCTGCAAGTTCAGGCTAGGAAGGTAAGACATCCACCATGTAGGCCCAGGGTCCACCACATAGGCCTAGGGTCCACCATGTAGCCCCAGGACCAAGAGAAAACAATGCTGACAAAGAGTGGCTGGAGCCGTGTTCAGAAGACATAACGCAACTCGGGTGGCTGCAGGAACACAGCCTTCAGCGCTTGGCCTCCCTACCTCTCTCCTGCACTGGCCTCCTCACGTGTGCTCCTGGACCTTCCTTCCCCCTAAAGCCTCGCCCGCCTGGACCTGCATTTATGCCCTGATTAGAACCAGACCAAGTATAGTTATCTTAACCTCCCTCTTTCCGGAACCCCAGCGTCCCTCCTTCCGCCACCTACGCCTCCCTCTGCCCCTCTTCAGCAGACTCCCTTCTAACTCTAAGAACATTCTCACTCTAAGGGACATTCCAAACACCCTTCCAGCCGCATATGCGCACTTCAGGGCTTCCACCACCAGCCCTCCACAGCCAAAGCCAACCCAGAAAGCAGAGCTGAGTGGAGAAGTACACGCCCCTCCTCTTCCCCCATGGGCTCCACTCAGTCACAAAAATCTTATCACAGACCTTGAGGAAGGAAGCACCGCCCACACCTCGCCTGTCCTCAAACTTCCACTATCCCCACTCCCCACTGACCGGCTGGCTGCTTTCCTCACAGGCCTTCGTTGTCCCAACACCACACGACAGAGGGAGATTCTCCTGGGTCCCCGGTACACCCTTGCCTCTACAGCTGGGTCAAGCTCTCCAGTAGACTCCAGGACCCATCCCTTGGGGGGCTCAAGGATGCCCCCACTTCAGTCGCTGTTCAGGGTTTCTCTTCCTATCTGAAGACTTTCATCTCCTCAAAAACAAAGCACCGATGACAGAGGCAGGCAAATCTCTGTGAGTTCGAGGCCAGCCTGGTCTACATAGTGACTTCCAGGTCAGCTGGGGCTAAAGGGAGACCCTGTCTCAAAAACCCAAAATGGATGGATGGAAAGAAGGAAGGAGGGAGGGAGGGAGGGAGGGAGGTTGGTTTTATTCCAGCCAGGTATGCCATGATGCACACCTTTAATCTCAGGACATGGGAGGCAGAGGCAGACAGATCTCCATGAATCTGAGGCCAGCCTGGTCTACATACTAAGTTCCAGGTCAGCCAGGGCTGTATAATGAGATGCTGCTCTCTCAAAACAAAAACAAAACAAAAAAATAAGAACTCCTATGTTGAGGTGGTACACACCTATTAACCCAGCACCCAAGAGGTAGAGGTAGGAGGATTGGGAGTTCAAGGCTATCCTTGGCTACATAGAGTTCTAGAACAGCCTAGTCTGCATGAGAACCTGCCTCAAAAAAACCAGAGTGCTGGGGTTATAGGTCAGTTAGTAGTGTGTTTGCCTGGCATGCACTGGGTTCCATCCAGCTCTGCATAAACCAGGTGTGACAATGCACATTTGTAATCCCAGCACTTGGAAAGTGGAAGAGGACCAGAAGTTCAAGGTCATCCTTGGCTACATAGAAAGTTCAAGGCCAGGCTGGGCTACATGAGGCCTTATTTCAGAAAGAGGAGAGATATATCAAGAGAGAAACTTCTGCTATTTGGCCATGTAATGGCTAATCCTGGGGGTCAACTTGACTGGATTTGGGATTAACTGAAATGAGAGAGATCTTAATTGGATCATCTGAAACTGGAAGACACGCCCTAAATGTGGGTGTTACCTTCTGATGGTGTCCCTATAAAAGGCCACGGCAGAGGAGAATGCTTGCTTTTTGCCTCTTGCCTTCTCTTACTGGTGAGTTCTCTTGCTGCTGTAGACTGAAGAGTAGCCAATCTTTTGGAATTCGTCAGACCTTTAGTGCCAGATTGGGACTCCTGAGACATCCAGCCTTTTGGACTGAGCGACTAGGGATTCTCAGTCTCTCTAGTGTGGTGCAGCCATTGTTGGACTACTCGGACTCTAACCTGTGAGCTAATTTGATAAATCCCTGCACTTATATATTCATTCTACCGGTTCTGTTTCTTTGGAGAACCCCGACTAATACAGGCCATTTCAAGGATTGCTTAGAGCAGCAAGATGACTGGAATTCAAACCATTTCCGAGTACTCCAGCTTCTCTTGGCAGCAGTACTCCTGAGACGCATTGTCTGAACGCCCTGATCTCACTTCCTTTCTTCCAGTCCTTGTGTGACACCACCCCTGTCTAGATTTCAGCCCATTGTCTGCAGCAGACCCTCAGGCCATCACCATCAGAAAACTACACAAGGCCCAGTCCAGCAGCCTAGGTCCCATCCTCAGCCCTACCCCTGACTCTCCAAATTACCATCCACTCTGGCTTCTGGAACACTTTGTTTGATGGGCCCTCATACCTGACTATTCCTGTCCTCATCCTCTCTCACTGTTACCCTGAGCCCTTCCTGCCCTCTCAGAACCAGAAGGTAAGGACTCAGCCCCTACTATACTTCTATGAAAGACACTCCCCAGATAAGCTCAACTGATGTGCTCCTAAAGTATCCCATTGATGTCATCACCTGGACGACATGGGGACACAATGAACTCCCCCCAGTCAGGGTCAAGGATAGCCATTCGGCTCAGACTGTATCCCGCCCCCCAGGGCTCCCTAACTCTGTGACTGGCCCCACCACCCACCATCTGACCACATCTCTCCACCTCCACTCCCAGCACCTCCCTGAATACCAGTATCCTTGCTGTTGTTCACACACCGCCCCACGGCCTCCTGGGAACCTTCCTCCACATGCTTTCCCATTGTTAGGCCCTTGTCCTCCCAGCAGCTAGAAAATCTATCAAAGTCAAGGGGGGCTGGAGAGATGGCTCAGCTATGAAGGGTGTTTGCTGCTCTTCCGGAGGACAAGGAGCCCCTGGCGTTAAGGCAGGATTTAGTGTGAGGGTTTGCAGTGTGGTAAAGGGGAAAGACGCAGAGGCAGACAGGCCAGGGAAGGGGAAAAGGGAGGGTGGAACCTTCAGGTTTCTAACTGGGTTTTTGAGACTGGGAGCCAGGAGCAGAGGTATGATCTGTGACTATCCCAGTTGAGAGTTATGTGATGATAGGCAAGTCACAGGATCTAGAAAGGAACCTGGAGAGGGGAGAGAGGTCTCAGTAGTTTGGGACATTTGTTTTGAGGAGTCCATGGGGGCATGTGATAATATTAGAAAGACTCACTAAGGCTGGACAGGGGATCAACAGAGGAGAGCAGGAACAGCAGCAGCAAAGGTGGCTAGTGAGGCCCACAGGCTGGGTGGTATGGGAACACACATGTCCCTGAGCATAGGGTGCCACTCAAGTGAGACTCAAATCAGCCTAGATTAGGAGACCCCTCCCCCTGCAGGCCCACCCTCTCCTGGGTTAGATCATGGTATTCTCACGATGCCCTGGGAGGCAGGCAGGAGCACTGAGGGCTGATAGTCCAGTTCCAGGGCCAGAGCCAAGGTCTCCCTAAGACCTGACAGAGACCAGGACCACAAGGACAGGCAGTGGAAGAAGTTGAGTTTTTTATGTGCAACACCCCTCAGTCAGGTTGAACTTTGTCTAAGGAAAGGATTACTAAATCCTCTCCTGTTAAGTGACCTTTGGTCACACTTTAATTCCAGTCTGGGTGACTTCCGTCTCCACCCTCCTTGCTTCCCAAATTTGTCTTTTTCCTGTCAGCCGGAACCAGCTGTATCTCCAGAAGAGGTCTTTATGACTCCGGGTTGCAGCGCAGGGCTCCAGGTCTTCGTGGGTGACAGCCAGCGGGTGGATGCCAGAGAGCTTATGCTCTGACTCAGAGACCCAGGTGCCCCTGTCATGCACCTGGGGAGGCTGGTGTGGGCAGCACCGTGGGAGAAGCGGGCTCCTCACACTGACCCCTGGGCCCTGGACCAGCCTCTGTGAAGTGACACCTCTACAGGGGTCACCAGGCAAGGATCATGGCTTTTCCTGAACTCCTGGACCAAGTAGGGGGCCTGGGCAGGTTCCAGGTCCTCCAGACGGTGGCCTTGGTGGCCCCCATCATGTGGATCACCACTCAGAACATGCTGGAGAACTTCTCAGCTGCTGTGCCTGGCCACCGATGCTGGGTGCCTCTTCTGGACAATGACACCACCCAGGCAGGTGTCCCTGAGGACCCAGGGCCTGAGGCCCTCCTGACCATCTCTATCCCACTGGGTCTGGATCAACAACCCCACCAGTGCCTCCGCTTCCGACGTCCACAGTGGCAGCTCCTGGGGTCCAACGCCACAGCCACCAACTGGAGTGAGGCCGACACAGAGCCATGTGAGGACGGCTGGGTCTATGACCGTAGTACCTTCGTGTCCACGACTGTGACCACGGTAACGGCCCCAACACCAACAGCCCGACTCAGGTCCTGAAACCCAAGAGGTCAAAGCCACAGTCACAGCTGGACTTAAAACGGTCCAGGCTCAGGAAGGACCCACCTTATCATTTGAAGGGTGACCAGGTGTCTTACAAGGGACTGGGTGGTGGGAGTTCATTCTTACAAAGCTGGAAATGGTGGCTCATGCCTGTGATATCAGCTGTCCTGGGAGACTGAGGCAGAGGAATTATGAGTCTGAGGCTAAGCTGGGTTACATGGGGAGTGAAGTCTACATAGAGTGCCCTGGTGTGGAAGGCCTGCTCCTGAATCACCCAGTGGCTTTGCCTACTCCATTGTTGTGTGGATTCCAGGCAATCCAGTCAAGGGGAACCTAGTGACTGTTCACTGGATTCTCTGAGGGTGAGCACACAGGGCCTGGACAAGCACTGGCCTCTCATAAGAGGTGTCAGGGAGCCTGGAGAGATACTTCAGTTGGTAAACCAGTTGACATACAAGCATGAGGACTTGTCTTCAGCTCCCTAGCACTCATCAAAAAAGCCAGGCATGTAATCCCAGCTCTGGGGAGGCAGAAACAGGTGGATCCCTGGGGCTCACTGGACAGCCAGCCTGGCATAATGGGTGAACCGAAGGTTTAATGAGAAACCCTGACCCAAAAAACAAGGTGGACCACTCCTGATATTGACCTCTGGTCCTTCACAAGCGCATACATGCATGTACACACACATGAATATGCATACATAAATACAGACAGACAGACAGACAGACAGACAGACAGACAGAGGATGAAGAAGAATCCAGAAACTGGGCCAGTGGAGCAGGGCAGCCGTCTCAGGAAGCAGGAAGGTCCCTGGGTGAGGAACAAGAGGAAAGTAACCTGGAGAGAAAGTGGACAGTGTCCGCTAAGGGAGCTACGGCCAGTGGGTGAAGCGAGGAGAGAACAGATGAGGCTAGAGAGATCTTGACCTTTGACCCAATAGTAAGGGTGACAGGATAGTCCTTGGGGCACCAAGCTATGCCAACAGGTATCCTCACTATCCCACCAGGGCCCTGCCCACACCCAGCTGCCCTCTAGCCCGCCCCCCTCTCCTACCCAGAGCGCCCTCCTCCCGAGTTCAGCTCTCCCTTCCTCTCCCTCCAGTGGGACCTGGTATGTGATGCCCAGGCCTTGAGACCCATAGCCCAGTCTATCTATCTGGCTGGGATCCTGTTGGGAGCTGCAGTATGTGGACTTGCCTCTGACAGGTGAGTACTCCTGCCATCCAGGCAGGCTCCTGAGTGAGTCTCACAACGTCTCTGAATCACAGGTATTCACTGCTAAATTCTTCCCTGCCACACACCTGCTTTCAACACCCACCCCCACACACCCACCCCCGCTTGAATGCCCGTGGCAACAGGGAACTCATTCCCTGCTGAGTTGACCTTGTCTCTCTTCACGCTTGTGACCCCTCCCACAGACAGAAAATAAGGGTCTGGTCCCACGTGTGGCCTTGTGCCTTTCTCAGCTCAGTGGGCAGGCACAGGGTGACCCTTGGTGGCCCAGATCTTCGTGGCTGGCCCGTATGCCACGGCCCAGCCACACTCCTCGTATATGTACCACAGGTTTGGACGCAGGAAGGTGCTGACCTGGAGCTATCTTCAGGTGGCTGTGTCGGGCACCACAGTCGCCTTCATTCCTACCTTCCCCCTCTACTGCCTGTTCCGGTTTCTGGTGGCTTTTGCAGCGGCAGGCATCATGATGAACACATGCAGTCTCTGTAGGTCCCTCAACTGGTGCCAGGTGGAAGAGGTCATGCACAGGCACCAATACTAATCTACTCATCTCTTTGCAGTGATGGAGTGGACGTCAGCCCAGGCCCACCCATTGGTGATGACCTTGAATGCTGTAGGTTTCAGCTTAGGCCAGGTCCTGACAGGTGCCGTGGCCTACGGTGTACGCAGCTGGAGGATGTTGCAGCTGACTTTCTCCGCCCCCTTCTTCCTCTACTTTGCGTATTCATGGTGGGTGACACACCCCTTGAAGGAGGCTCTGCCCACTCTTGGGAGTCAATATGGGAGAGTCTCCCTTTCCTGCTAGAGGTGCCAGAGGCCACAACATCTGAACTGGAGGGGAGCCACTGGAGCCCCAAGGCACTCATCCTCCCACAGCCTGGAGCCCAGATGCTCCCTGGGGTGCCTTCTCTCAATGACCCTACAGTCTGAGCTCCCTTCCTCAGGGAGTCTGGCCAGTTAGCAGCTCCAGCTCTCTTCCAAATCTATGCTCCACCCTGCCTCACTCCAACCCTCGCCCCCACCCCACCCCCATCCCCACACTTGCCTCTAGCCTCAGGTCTCCAAAAGCCTTCTAGAAGCTTCCTCCAACCTGCAAATTCTCCCACCTGCTCCTCCTCCCACCTGCTCCCCCACAGCACCCTCCCTCCAGATTTTGACACTTGCCTCTTCCTCATCCCCTGTCCAACAGGTCACCAAGGATCACCAACTCTATCTGCACTCTCACCTCTCCTCTCCCTTGTCCTGGTGTCTACCTCTGGGTCAAGACGGATATGAAGCAGGTGGCCCCTCCCAGCTGCTGCTCACCGGGGACAGCTTGCCCTGCTGGGGGAAGGGGTGGATCTTCCTGAGCACAGGCCTGGAGTGGTGCTGAGTGGCAGGCACTGCAGGAGGCTCAGCTGGCTGAGCAGGCCTGTGCAGAGGCTGGGTTTGATGTAGAATAGCCACATCCTGGATGGCTGAGGCAGGGCCAGGGGAACAGCCAGGCACAAAGAGGTCCAGAGGGGACAGAAGTGCTGATGAGGTGCACACAGAGGGGGCTTGGTGACATCATAGACATGAAATCTGGGCTGAGCCCTGGGTCAAGGCTGGTGAGGCTGTTTATAGCAGTAAGATGCAACTTGGAGGCTGGAGTGGGCACAGGAGGGACAGGTGTGACATGGAGAGGTATCAGAATGGTGGGGGACCCTGGCAGCCACTGGAGTCCTGCAGCCACTGGGGTGCTTATTATACCCAGGTCAGGTCCACTTGGGCAAGGCAGAGGACAGGCTGTGGGGCAGAAAGGAAAAGGAAGGGGACAAGAAAGTCCCTCCAGCATCAGCAGCCTGCCCAGGGACAGGAGAATATGGGAGTCTCAAACTCAGGGAGGAAGAAGACAGCAGGACCACCTGCTGGGGCACATGGAGGTCTTGGTGGCCTGGTTACACATACCATAGTGTCCTTTATTGTTCCCACTGACCTCAGCTGCCCAGGGGCTGGGGCTTGTAAGTGCCACTGAAGCCAGTTCCTTGGGTAAAGAGGTCAAATGGCTGGGAGGGTGGTGCAGGCCAAGCCACGGGGGCCACAGGCAGTGACCCGTTCCCTCACCCCTCCACTTTAGGTGGCTACCAGAATCGGCACGCTGGCTCTTCACCGTGGGCAAGCTGGACCAGGGTCTGCAGGAACTGCAGAGGGTGGCTGCCATCAACAGAAAGAGGGCAGAGGGAAACACACTGACCATGGAGGTAAGGTGGGCGTGGCTTCCCTTCAAGCCTGTCCCCTCAGACCCTCTCCCTGGCTTTGCACAAGGATCCCCTGGGAGACTGACTGAAGGCCCCAGCTCCTGAACGAGGGACCCTGGAGGAAGGCCTGTGGATACCTGGTGCCAACAGCCCTCCACTCTCACAGGCCGTACTGTCAGCCATGCAGGAGGAACCAAGTGGGGAACAGGCTCCCACCAGGCTGGGCACCCTGCTCTGCACACCTGGACTGCGCCTCCGGACCTGCATCTCCATGTTGTGCTGGTAAGGTCCCTTCTACCTCAGGCCACCAGCCCAGCCTCCACAGGTGGCTACCAGTGAGATTGCAGTTGGCTGGGCTGCCACACAGCCAGGGATTCAGGTTAGAAGAGCATGCGACACCAGGACCTCCCTATCTAGAGTCAGGTTCCCAGCAGGGACCAGCCTAGCCAGGTGGGTTCACGAAGGTTCATAGACCCAAGCAGCTAGAAGAGATTGAATGAGGAGGATCAGGAAGAAGGTACTGGAAAAACTGGAGAGCCAAACCAGACACAAGACAATGCAAACAACAGACAGGCTGCTTGTTTAGAAGCACCAGGGATGAGCGGGCTGAGCTCAGGAGCCCAGGCTGCCCAGCAAAGACCAAACCCACAGAGGCTCTGTTCAACAGAAGCTGGAGCTGTGGGGACGGCATCCCAGATGCAAAGCAGAAGCAAAGGGGAAGAAATACTCGGATTCTCCTTTTATCTGCTCCTCAGCTGCCCCTAGCACCCCATCCCTCTCTCAGTGGTTTTAGCCCATGAGCCTCTGCAAACAGGCAGGAGCACAGCCATCCCAGGCCAACTCACCTGCCCTCCTACCAGGTTTGCCTTTGGCTTCACCTTCTACGGCCTGGCCCTCAACCTGCAGGCCCTAGGAAGCAACATCTTCCTGCTCCAGGTGCTCATCGGGGTGGCGGACCTCCCGATGAAGACCAGCAGCCTGCTGCTGCTCAACCGTCTCGGCCGGCGTCTTAGCCAGGCCGGCTCCTTGGTGCTGCCAGGACTCTGCATCCTGGCCAACGTGCTGGTGCCTCATGGTGAGGCAGCCCAGTTGTGGTTGAGCATGTGTGTCAAGAGGAAGAAAGAGAGTGGCCAGCCAGCTGAGGTGCTCCCACCCTGTGGGGGGGGGGCAGCACAAATGGTGTGGGAGCAGAGCAGAGGCCGCTTAGGAAGGAGGCTGCCAGAGCTATGAGGGAGAGAGGGCAGAGGATGGGACAGTGGTAAGTGATGGAGTTGTAGGATAGTCAGAGAAAGTTGTGTTAACATTAAACTCAGTGATAGAGTAGGGCAAGAGGGAGGGAAGGGGAGGCAAGGAGGGCTCCCTAGTTCTGACTCTTGGGGAGTGACCAGAGATCACTCACATAGAACACTATGGGATCTGGAGGATCAACTCACAAGACATTTGACAGACAGGACTGGAGGGCAGGGAGCAGCACCAGGAATATATGACCCCAGACCCCTGCTGACTTCATCTCTATTGACAGAGATGGCGGCTTTGCGTTCGTCCATGGCTGTGCTGGGCCTGGGGTCGCTGGGGACCGCCTTCACCTGTGTCACCATCTTCAGCAGTGAGCTCTTCCCTACTGTACTCAGGTGAGGTTGTCCTGAGATTAAGGAGGGCACTGTAGTCTTGGGGGGGGGCTTCCCCCAGGCCTCCCTGGGTTTCCCTTCCATATGGCCTCAGGGCCATTCAGCTATGACCCTCGGGGTCTCACTGGACCCACTGGGCTGTGGACAGTCAGAGTGCCACTCACAGTCACATGTGGCCCCTGACAGGATGACAGCAGTGGGCCTAGGCCAGATAGCAGCCCGTGGGGGAGCCATCCTGGGGCCTCTGGTGCGACTGCTGGGCATCCATGTCCCCTGGCTGCCCCTGCTGGTATACGGGACGGTGCCAGTGCTGAGTGGCCTGGCTGCACTGCTTCTGCCTGAGACCAAGAACTTGCCACTGCCAGACACCATTCAAGACATTCAGAATCAGTGAGTAGACCAGACAGGGGACCACCCCTCCCTCCCTCCCTCCCACCTTCTCGTCCTCCCTTCTACCCTCCCTCGCTCCAGAGAAGCCCAAAACAAGGTGTCCTGTGCACCCATCCCCTCACTGAGCAGAAGGGAAGTAGAGGCCCAGAAAGGGATGGGATTGGCCCAAAGTCACACAGCCCATCAACAGGAGTGAAGAGACCCAGGCTGACAAGCAGACTCTAACCCTTTGCCCTTCATCCCACCATGTAGAGGAACAAATAGCCCAGCTCCCCTTGGGTCCACCTTGAGAGAGGCTAAGGGGAAGAGAGTGCTGGCCTTGGTCAGGGGAGGGTCCTGGGGTTTGATGGGTGTTGATGGTTGTCCTCACAGGCCCTAAGCTCTGCCACTAAAGTCCTCTGGTGGTTGACAAGGCTGCCACTGCCCACCCCACCCTTCAGCTCAAGCCTGAGCCCTGGCAGGCTGCTTGGTGTTCAGGATGGACACAGATCAAGGGTCAGAGGTCACTTTGCACCCCAGAGACACATTCCTCTGTCTTTCCCCGAACAGGTCAGTGAAGAAGGTGACACACAACAAAGCTAAGAGCTCCATTCTGAAGTCCACACGGCTCTAGCTCCTGACGGTCTACGATAGGATGGGGGTTGGGGAGAGAAGGAGGGAACAGGGGAAGAGAAGAAGGAAGAGGAAGAAGAGGAGAAAGGGGAGAAAGAAGAAAACGGTGGGGCTGGCAATGGCTCAGTGGGCAAAGGCACTTGTAGCCAAGCATGACAACCTGAGTTGGATTCCCGGAACTCACGTGTGGAAGGAGAGAACTGACTCTGTTAAGTTGTCCTCTGACTTCCACACAGGCACTATGGCATGTACCCGTACATACCCCCCAACACACACGCACACAATTTATAAAAAGAAAAGGAGAAGGAAGAGGGGGCAGAGGGGGAGAAGAGGAGGAGGAAGAGGAGGAAGAGGAGGGGGAAGAGGAGGAGGGGGAAGAGGAGGAGGGGGAAGAGGAGGAGGGGGAAAAGGAGGAGGGGGAAGAGGAGGAGGAGGGGGAAGAAGAGGAGGAGGAAGAAGAGGGGGAGGTAGAAGAGGAGGAAGAAGAAGAAGAGACTTCTGTCCCCTGAGACAGCCGAGGGAATCAAAAGGCTCTATTTCCAGGGATCCTGGGGCTGCCTGCCTAAGCCTCCCTCCAACACAGAAGGGGCAAAGGATAGTTTGATTGGCAGGAGGCTGCCCCATTCACTGCCGTCATCCTGACTCTCCCCATGTAGCTGCACAGTGAAGAGGGACCAGGGCCAGGGTATGCCTCCTCACCACTCACTATCCAACATGTCCACCTGCCCCAAGGTTCAGAACTGACCATCCTCACTTCTGGCTCAGCACAAGCAAAGGCATCTCAGCTCCTCAGTGTCACTGAGGCCGTGGCCCAGCCAGCCTGGCCCCTCTCTACCCTCACCCAACTCCAGCCACATGCTTTGACATAGCTTCTGCCTGGATCCCCTTCCCACCTGACACTCTCCTGGGCCTTCCACACCCAGTGTAGGGGCCTCCTTCCAGGATTCAGGGCCAGCCCATAACACTGTAGCACCAGACCCACAGTTGAAACCACACATGTCTCTTCTCACCCTCCAGCACAGAAGTTCCATGACAAAGACAGTGGTCCCTCTGCTCCATGACCTAGCTCACACAGAGCCTGCTGGTGGGTATCAGATGGGGGGACTGACTAAAGATTAAAGACAGGAACAAATGAAGACAGACCCTCGCTGGCTCGTGAGGAGCCCCCAGATTCTGTCTGGGTCGGAAAGAAGACTGGGGGCTCTTCACCAGATAGAGCTCCCCAAAGCTGGCTTTCCTTGTGTCCTGGCACAGGCTGGAAGGCTGCTGTCCCTCTCATACCATGTTTTGCTGTACCTTGAGAGGCAGGTGCTGTCCTAACTCACGAACAGGGCAACTGAGGCTTCAAGAAACAAGCTGCCCATGATGCACAGCTAAGAGGAGGCAGGATCAGGACTGCAAGCCCCAGTCTGTAGGTCTCCTGAGCCCACTCTGGCCACAGTGCCATTGCTGGCTTCATCATCTTGGCAGATAAGAACACAACAGGACCTTTTCACAGGAAAGCCAGGGCAGTGTTTCCCAGTGGGTCACTAGCTGACCCATCGGCTGTACCACCTGACAATCTCTGTGTCCACCTGTGTGGCTGTTCCCAGGCGCCTTAGCTGCAACACACACACACACACACACACACACACACACACACACACACGACTCCTCTCTGCAAAAGAGGTGGGAGTCACATTTGTACAGATACCTTAGGACCAGCTTGGCCTTTTATTGCTCAGCTCAGGCCCATCTGTCACTCCCAGAGGATATAGAAACTTCCAGAAGGCAGAGCCAAAGAAGGAGATAGCTCATCCTCTCCCCCAGGGTGTCCCCCAGCTCACCAAACAGGTCAGAGATGTCCCTCCGCCCATATTCAGAGTATCTAGCCAAGGTGGGTGATATCTTTCAGAACAAAGGGCTCTGTCACTCTGTGGAGTGACAGTGTCCCTGTGCCTGAGGGATGCCCTGACAGTGGTGGAAGTGTGAACTCGGGGTGCTGTACACACAGTGGCAGGTCTCCACTTGGAGCGTGCCTTCTTTTTAATACCCAGCATGTGGGCTCCTAGCCTGGAAGTTACAGGGATGTCCCACAATGGAGAGATCGAGGGAACTGAGACTGGGTACCAGGAGCCTGTGACCACCCAGTTTTCTTGTCCCTATGGTAGCAGAGACCTCGAGCAGCTGGGACCAAGGACAGAGGCTAGGGTACCACCTCTGTCCATTTTCCTGCCCCCAGCCACACCAGTAGCTCATACCGGAGAACATGGTGGAGAGGCACCCCAAGCACTGTGGGCTGGCTCCCAACCTTCCACCAAAAGACATGGCTGGGCTGACGTTCCCTCTCCAGGGACTTGGATGGCAGATCTTCAAGGTCCAAGAGCATCAGTCAGATTTCACCATGGGCTTCTTCCCCAGGCCCTTCTCTTTGACCCCTAAGATGAAACATCTTGAGACATCCCTGTGAGGTCTCCTCAAGGAGCCTGAATGCTTGGAATTTCAGCCACCCCCACATGCTGTTTGTGCCTCTCTTGAGGTCACTGTGAGACAAGCTGAATCCCGAGGCGCCCCACTCTGGCCCAGGTGCTACAGTCCACATGGAATACACACCAAGGACGATATGACTGGAGAGTCAGATGACTATCTTTTGGAATGATAAACTGAGTCAATAGCCACCTCCAGAAGTCTTTCTCCTAAAAAGAACACCCTTGAGTGACAGCTCTTGGCCTCCTGATGCTGGAAGAGAGATGGAATCCTGGTCACAAGACAACCAGCACGCTGAAGCCATCCTTTCAACTCCCAGAGTACACCCTGCCTCAGCCAGGGTCTTTGTAAAAATCATTGCAGTAAAGGTGCTCCTTCGTGTCACCAAGGAACTCCTGCTGTCTGTTTTCTGTGACTAATAATGATGAGGGTGCTAAGCCTCAGCCTTGAGCAAAGAACAGTGGCAGGACAAGGTAAGGCCATGACCAGCCAAGGACTGGGCATCCCGGAAGCACTGCCTCATGTCAGGGCCTTCCCAGGCTCCCACAGGTGGGTAAATGAAACGTGATCACCCCAAGCCCAAGAGCAGCAGGGGCGACAAGCAGGTCTGGAAGCAGGTGGAGAAGTCAAGTCCACAGAAATCCACACCTGGAGTCTAGCAATGAAGGGTAGTGTGTCAAAGGCCCCAAAGCAGAACCAGGAGGGGAGGCAAGGCTGGGAGTATGGAGGTTAGAAGTACGTCCATGGACGGGGTGCAGCCACCTATGAATCTTGAGGCCCTGCCAAGCCATGAGGGGCCCACCTCCCTTCAAAGACTGGGAAAGGGGGCAGTGGCAGCTGCCAGCACCAGGTCAGCAGCTGGTGCACACCCTCTGAAGGCAAGGTCACAGAATCCAGGCCAGACACCAAACTCCACCCCCACACAGGCTGGGGTGTTTGCCACCCTCAGGCTCACCTAACAGGGACTTGCAGAACAGTTGCCTGCTGGGGAGCCCAATGCTGTGCTCAACTCAAAAGTCTGGGGGATTGAGCAGGCAAGATGGCTCAGTGGGTAAAGGCACTTGTCACCAAGCCTGATGATCTGAATCTTACCCCAAAAACCAACGCCTGCAAGTTGTCCTCTGTGCCTGGCGCCCCCCACATACATATACACACCTACACACACGCACACTGAATTGGGACCGGGGTGTGGGGAACTTACCGGCTTAGGAGCACACTCCAGACCTGCCCTATCCCATAGCCAGGACCAGGGACCTAGCACAATCCCTCACCCAGAACAAACTACACAGGACTGTTGGAATTTGGAAAGTTTTTGTTTTCTTTTTCCCACACATTTCCGGGTTTTGGGTGTTTTCCAAGACTCAGACACTTTGTTAACAAAGAGAAAAAAAAATGGGGGAGCAGGGGGCACATGGGCCGAGATGTGGCCCCGGTCATCCGCAGACACGGTCTTGCTCCCTCCCCTTTCCTGCCCTGCGCCCAGCAGGTGCCACGGGCCGCTGCTCTGGTACCTCGATTATTTGTTTTTAATATATATCTGCATTTGCCTTTCCCTCCCCCCGCCCCCCACCCCGCTCCTCCAGCGGCTTCCCAGGAATGCACGTTGCCCGGCGGCACACACAATAGACCTTGACCAGGCCCAAGCCCCTTCCTTTGGGCGAGCCTCAGACAGGCACCTCTCCTGAGGAGGGGACTCAGGGCACTGGGGAAATGAACCCCACTGCACTTGCCCCAGCCACCCCAGCTGGGCCTCTCCGGGCCCACCCTCCCACCCTTTTCCCAGAGACTCTGGAAACCCAATGGGAGGGAAGCGGAGAAAAAATACAGAAGGGGGGAAGAAAAAGAAAAGAAAAGAAAAGAAAAGAAAAAGTGGGGAAGGAGGGTGGGGATGAGAGACACAGCAAGCTGGGCCAGGACAAGAGGGCTGGGAGAGCGAAGGAAGGCAAGAGGGACGGAGAGGAAGAAAATCGAGGAAACTAAACGAACGCGTAGTGGACACTTTACAAAACCCCCAGCCTTCCTTCCCACCCAGCCCCACCAAAATAAAACTACCCACCCCCCCCTTAAAAAAATAAATCAACCCAGGGCTGTGAGCACGGTGCCCTGCCTGGCAGGCGCAGAGCCAGAGGGACAGCCAGGGCTGACGGTGCGGCGCCGTGGGCAGCAGGACTGGGACGAGCATGGGGTTATTCCTTTTCTTTTTTTTTTTTTTTTTTTTTTTTTTTTTTTTTTTTTTTTTTTGCGTTTCCTCTTCGGTGGAAGAAGCCCGAGGCAGCCAGGGAGAGGGTCCCCAGGTCCCCCTGCAGCGAGAGGGCCGCGCCCTCCTCCCGGGCCCTCCCGGGAGGGGCAGCTGGCAGTGGGGCGCGATGCCTGGAGGAGGAGGGGGTGCTCAGACGTAATACTCCTTGTCTTTATTCTTCTTGGCCTTGCTGGGTGTCTTGGGCGCGGCCGGGGCTTTCTCTTTCACCACCGCCCCATTGCTCTGGGCCGAGTTACTGATGTAGTTCCGGCTCTGGTCCACCTGGTAGGAGCCCTCGTCGCGGTTGCGGTACTTGTACATGGCGTAGAGGAGGATGAGGATGCAGAGCGCCGCCGCCGCCACGATGCCCACCACCATGCCCGTGGTGCTGCTGGACTCGCGGATCACCTCCACCGCGCCCGGCGGCCCGCGCTCCCCCGGCCCGGTGGGGTTGGCTGTGGGCAGATGGGGGAAGCCGGGGGCTGAGGTCACGCCGGGGCGCAGCGGGGGCGGCCTCCGCGGCTCGAAGGACGTGGGGACCCCGGGCCCCAGGGGCGGGTTCTCCAGCAGGGGCTGCAGCGGGTCTCGGTGGTTCATTTTGCCCGCGGGCAGGTTGGGGGCCGGGGCGGAGGGGGCGAGCAGCACCCCGGGGGCGCCCGTGGCCCCATCTGTCCTGAGGTTGGGCCGGGGCGCGGGTTTGCGGGGTGACAGGAGAGTGGTGCGGTCCGTGACCAGGGGAAAGGTGGTGTAAAAGTCCTCGTCGTCCGTGGGGGGGAGGCTGGAGTCAAAGACCTCCCCGGAGGCGAAACCGGAGGCCTCGATGGGCTCCTCGCAGTCGCTGTCGTCGCGCTCGGCCTGGCACGGGCCCCCCGAGGGCGGGCGGCGCGCGGCGGGCGGGGGCAGGGTGTCTTGGGTGGCACCCACGCCCGTGAGAAAGGGGTAGAAAGTAGGGGGTGGGGGCACGAAGGGGGAGCGGGTGGCCACGGGAGGGGGGTCTAGGGAGTCCTCCGTGATAATGGGCAATATTAACTCTCCTCCTAGAAGAAGAAAGAGAAGAGAGAAGAGGGGTCGTCAGCGAGGGCCGGGGCGCAGGTGGCCGGCATCAGAGAGAGAAACAACAGCCTCACACCCAAATCGGTTCCAATTGGCTTTGGCGACTAGAGCGCGCCAGCCGGCCGGAGCGCTGCGCTTTACGCGTGCTCGGATGCCCTGCGCACCCCGCGCGGGCTCTGCGACATTCTGGGTTTGGTTTTGTTTTTTTTTTCTTTTCTTTTCTTTTTTTTCTTTTTTTTTCTTTTTATTTATTTATTTATTTATTTTTTGTCTTAGACCAAAAGGAACAGAAAGGAAAGGAAATTGAAAAGAAACGGAAAATTTTTTTTCTACTGGTTTAAGGCTTTAAAAACATACAACAGCAGCATTTAAACAAACCTAGCAACAGAATCTTTTAGGGATTTTTTTTCTATATTTTTCTTTTTGCTTTTGTTTTTAAAAAAGAAGATAGCATACCACGGAATTCAGGCAACTTACATCAACAAATAGGCCGTGTGATTTTAGCATGAAGAAAAAAATTACAAACAGAGCTGTGTAAGCGGGTTCTCCCGAAAAAAAATAAGAAAAAACAACTTTTCCGTACAATGTTTTCTATCTGTTTGGTATCTCCCTCCCTCGATTTGCTCCCTGCACAGCCTACTTTCCTCCAGAAAGCTCTCTCTCCTCCCTCTCGAGCCCTCTTCCCCTCATCAAACTTCAAGTTGAAATTTGCACAGTGCGAGCTGGGAATGGGAAATTGGCATCACTCGGGGTCATCGTGTGTGCGAAGGACGGGTCAGTGGAAGGATGGGTTTGGAGAGGGACAGTGGCAGGTCTGTGAGGGTGAGAGTTCCTGGGGAGGGACTGGCCATGGGAGGAGCTTCGGTGGGTCGTGGGGGAGGAGCCGTTGAAGGGAACGTACTTGATTGGAAAAGTGGGCAGGGAGGTAACAGACACACTGGAACAAGGGTCCTATCCCATAGGATTCTGGGAGAAGTGGTGGGATGTCATGTAGGGGACAGGAAGTGAGTGCATGAGGGCAGGGGCCAAGTGGTTCCTGAACTAAGCCTAACTCTCCAACTTTATGCACCCTCCACCTCTGACCCCCACTGACTCCCCCCTCCCCCTCCCCAGAACCCCCATGGACCGCCAGAACCTGGCCAGGGCATGACTGCTCCTGGCCCTCGTATTATTGTTAAAACAATATAAAACAACGGAAAGAAGAAGAAAGCAAAAGAAGAAAAGAAAATACATACACAGCCATCTGGGAGGGACACACTGGCTAACTTAGGGCCCAGGGGAACTACTGGGGAAGGCTTTGTGGTGGGGTGGGGTAAGTCTCCTCTGCAAGTCTGAAAAATGGAGTTCCCTGGGACAGAAACTGCAATTCCCATCAGCCCCCTCCCCACAAAGGGTGGGAAATACAACTCCCGTTAGCTCCCGATGGGATGTGAGCTACAATTCCCATCAATTCCTGGGTCTATAACTCCCATCAGCCTCCTAGGCCTCCTCACCAACCAAAACACTACAAGCCACTGGCCTCTGGTAGACAGAAGCTGGACCCCAACTCTAGGCTGGAGGGAAGGTTGAAGCACTGGCCATAGAGACAGCTTCTGTGAAGTGGGGCTGAAGATTTCCTTCTGGCTCTCCCTCCAGCTCAGCCAAAGCCCTGCCCCTACCTGAGTACTTCACCTGCAAGGGTGTGGGACCACCTTTTCTGCTCTGCTCACCCCACAGTTCAGTCTCCCCACCCACCCCACCACCAGCAGCAGCTCCAGCAATCTCACAGGCATTCTTGGCCACACCAGCCAGCCCTAGTGAGACCTCACCACTGACCAGGAAACTTTGCCAAGCTCTCCAAGCCGCCAGTGTCCCCCGAGGGTAGAGGCTTCTCTGTGCCACAAATTTTTAAGACGCGGGGGCTTCACACATGGATGCTATGCATGCACTTTGGCTCTACCACTGAGTCACATCCCAGCCCTCAACTCCAGTTTTTAATGGATGTGGATGCTAAAGGCCTGGACAGAGCAGGACTTCCCTAGGTCTGGCATCACTGTCAGGTGAAGAACCAATTCCCTGTGACTCTCAGGGAAGCCTGGACCATCACCCCCAGGCCTCCAGGAGGCTGCCAAGACTGCTTAACTGAGAAGCTGACTCAGAGGCTACATGTGTCTCGGAATTCCTATGGGATGATCAGCAAGTTTGTTTTGTTTTATTTTGTTTTGACCCACTGGGCCTCAGTTTCTTCATCTATAAAACTAAGGTATTGCTGTGCATGGTGGTACATAATTCCGGCACTTGGGAGGTGAAGGCAAGAAGACTAGAAATTCAAGGTTATCCTCAGCTATATAAGAAGTTCCAGGCCAGTCTAAGTTACCTGAGACCCTGTCTCAGATAACCAAAATAAATAAGTAAAAAGAAAATAAAGAGCTCCAGACCCAGGTTAAGCCAAGGCCTAGCTTGTTGGGCCTTTCCACCCATGTGAGCCCCAGACTCATCAATCAGAAGACAGGAATGAACTCAGTTCTCAGTTCACAGGGGAGAGAGCTGATGGCGCCTCAGGTAGTAACATCCAGGGCCAATCTAGGATGCTCCCTTCCCAACATGGGTCCTGAGTTCACCTGGGTCCTCCCACCTGGCCCACACCACCTGCTGTCTTCTGACCTTTGCCTTCCATTCAAAACACATTCCCTGCTGATAGCTCAGGAATGCACAGAGTCAGGTCAACATCTCCTGTGCTGACCTCAGAAGATGTCCTCTGCTCCTGGTGCCTCTGACACAGTGTCCCTATTCTGTCCCAGAAGCCCAAGTTTGACTCGCTGCCAGGGAAGGCCCAAAGGCCCAAGTCCCATCTGTCGATCTTTCTAGTGGCCAGCAGTGGGCCTGGCACAGAGCTGAGCTCTTTCCACTTTTCCAGGGGGAAGGGAAGGACTATCCCTCTAGCATTTTCTCTGAGCTGGGCCAGGTCAGGTGTTTGGGGAAGTGCTAGAGCATCTCTTACAGGCCTAAGCAAGCTGAATTTTGCACAGTCTCTTGTCTGCCATCTTGGACAGCGGGCCCTGCTGAGCACTAACCCTGGCAGTGCTTTGTCCCACCCATGGGCCTGGCTCTCACCCTCTACCAACCCACCTTCCATCTTTTCCATCTTACACTGAGACATCAGTGACCTCTGGGAACTCCAGGGTCAAAGCTTGCCTACCTTGCTTATAATCCTCAATGAGCTGGCCATAGCTGAGGACACAGTGATATGTCAGGTCTGTGCTGAGGACTTACCCTAGAATGCTGATCATCAGGCTGACCAGGGCAGCCTTGGATTCCTACCAGCCCTTGGGACACACAGGCTTCTTAGATCTCCCTCCTTCTTGCCCCATTGCCCTCCCCGGCTCCATATCTGAGCTTCCCTTGTGTCTTTCCCAGCCTTTCTCTGCCCAAGGTTTGGCTATAAACCTCCCAAGACTCCCTCCATGGAGAGCTCCCTTTTCATTGTAGCATCTTTCTCCTACACTTCATCCATGCACCCTACACCCCATACCTTCTCTGAGATAAAAGACAATGGAGAACCCTAAAAAGTCACATGGCTCTCCCATCACACCCTCATTCAACCAGGCATGGGTCATGGGGCAGAGGAGTCGTAACAATGTAGGTGCTGGGCTTTCCTGGTCCACTGGTCCAGGAAGGGTCTAGAGTGCTTACTCTAGAGAGAAGCCAGTAGGCCTGAGCGAGGGATGACCCCTCAGAGGCTCCTCACCTGGGAAGGCCCACTTGCTGCCCCTCCCACTGGGCTTCTGAGGGAGGGGTACAGACTCAGGATGACTCATTGGGGGCCCTATCACCAGCTCTGCACCACTGGGAGACATGGCCCTGAAAGCCATCGGAGTCTGATAAGAACCCCAGGCAGCACTAGCCCCTCCCCTCACTTCCAGCAGCTGCAGCAGTGGGAAAATACAGGTGCATGCCTATCCTAGCTGCAACCCACCCATTCTCTCCACTCCCACCTTAAGAAAATGGAATTTCAATGCATGTAGGGCCTACTTGCTAGAGAATTCCATTCTGAAGACCCCACCACTCCTGAGCAGTCTTTCTGCCTCAGCTCGTCCCTCTCTAGGGTACTCACATACAGCAAACTGAGCCCTTTCCACCTTTAAGACACAGAGGCCCTGGTTAGAAATTTACCCATGAAGCCGGGTACTGTAGTTCACACCTGTAATCCCATTACTTGGAGGCTGAAGCAGGAGGATCACCATGAGACCATGAGTTTGGCCTGGGCTATATAATGAGTTCAAGGCCAGCCTGGGCTACAGTATAGGACCCTATCTTAAAAATGAACTACTCATGAACCTTATTCCCAAACAGTCAAGATATGTCCACCCCATAGAAGAGCCTAGAACTGAGGTGTTCCAGACTAAATCATCTGCTGGCATAG